TCTCGACGACCGCACCATCTACCACATCCAGCCATCTGGCCTCTTCATCATCGGCGGTCCCCAGGGTGACGCCGGTCTCACTGGCCGTAAGATCATCGTCGACACCTACGGTGGTTGGGGTGCCCACGGTGGCGGTGCTTTCTCCGGAAAGGACTACTCCAAGGTCGACCGCTCTGCTGCCTACGTCGCCCGATGGATCGCCAAGTCCATCGTCCACTCTAAGCTCGCCCGCCGTGCCCTCGTCCAGCTTTCCTACGCCATCGGTGTTGCCGAGCCCCTCTCCATCTTTGTCGAGACCTACGGCACCTCTAGCAAGACTTCCGATGAGCTCGTCGACATCATCCGAAAGAACTTTGACCTCCGTCCTGGTGTCATCGTCAAGGACCTCGACCTCGCCAAGCCTATCTACTTCCAGACCGCCAAGAACGGTCACTTCACCGACCAGAGCTTCTCCTGGGAGAAGCCAAAGACCCTCAACTTCTAAACATCTTAACCTCACCCCTCTATTCTTCCGCCCTCCTCTACTTCCGCTCCTCCTATCCAATTAATCACCTCCTCTTCCTTCCTCCTCCGGTTGTAACAAAACAAGTTCATCATAGTGATGATCGTTTGCTTTGTTTTCAACAACTCAAAGCATATACAAAATAGACTCACGACCCTTTCGTCTGTTTTACGGGATCTACACGACTTTTCTTTATTGCATTTACAAACTGGTTTTGTTGCAGCATCTCCGGAATAATTCAACATGATACCAATTTCCTTGTTACGCTTTTACACATACTACATTTAACATTATATCAGGCGGAGGGCGTTTTCGGTGAAAAAGTTGAACCAGTCATTCGGTGGCCTGGTAGATAGAACCAATCAAACTATCAATTCGGCTTCTTAGCTTTTATGCAATATCAGCCAATATTCTCTTCCATCTAAATAGTATCATACTTCCAGCTTAAGTTCACCCTTGGTGATGTATCTCAAGTGGTCTTCCTGACAGGTGTAAGTACCTCAGGCAACGGGTCATACCAGGACTTTCCCGACGTTAAGATTATGTAAAGCGCGAAAGGTTGCTTACAAACAAGCTTCAAAAAGAGACGCGCGCGAAGAACCTTAAAGTAGGTTTGACATCACGTGTAAGCGACTTCGCGTCGCCTTCTTACTTTAAATTTGATGGAAACAATCAAGACAGCGACCATATCTATGAGCTTTAAGTGTGAGATTTATACTTTTTTTTTTTTTCACTGTTTAGCTTTGAGCTGCTAGCATTCCCTGCATCTCTTTCATACTATTTTCTTTTCATTGCATTGAAATTGTTAGAGTTATGGCTGGATGGCTACCTGTCTCCCCCTCCTAACGACCTCGAAGGTACCATCCGCGGGCACGTTGGACGATAGCCATGCTTACTGTCCCCCTTCAAAAAGATTAAAGTTAGATCATGACAATGATGGTGCTGTTGGTAAAGCTGCACTGGCTAAATTTACCATCAATGTACGTTTCTCCTTAAGTCTATCTTTCCTTCGAAAAAACCAAGTGCTAATATCAGCAACTCTTAGCCTTGCGGTACCTCCTTGTCAGATAGACCACATAGCCTCTACCCTATAGCCTTAATACTGCGCTCTCGAATTCCACTATCATGGCTGGATACGTGCCTGTCACCTCCACGACGCATACGACCAGGAAGTTTATTTACAGCAAATATACCCGCTCTTGAGCAGAGTCTTTCTGGCGAGAATGCCTCCACTGTGTTGGCCGCGGCAATTTCAGATACGGTGGAACGTCATTATGGTGAAGTACCGAAAGAATTATATGTGGTTGAAAGGGTGAAGCGCTGCGTATATGCCATATGTCCTCTAAGGGGCGAGGTTCAGGAAGCGGATTTGGCAGTTGCATCCAAATCCAGCGGAGTTCAGGATGAGTTTGGACCTGTTCAGTCGCCTTCCGACCCATTCACGGACAGCTTGGAATTTGCTACCATTCCTAATATTGATTTGTTCCAAGAAATACCTGCTCAAGCTGTCTCCTTCGCTTTTGGAGACTCCCCTCATGAAAACCCCGTGTCTAGCCAGGTCGACAGAACCGGGACGTCCCCAAATGCCGCTTTACAATCACCAGCAGTTGCAACCGAAGTATCTCCAAAAGAGGGAGACAACATTGAACTTGGCATCAGTCTGCCTGCCGAATATTTCGCTGACAGCCAAATTCTTCCGCAAACCAACACTATTAACAATGCCGAAGATATGCTTTCTACACTCAAGATGCAATATCTTGAAGCCCTATATATATCAAAGGTAAGACCCTCCATCTTTTTTCTTTTTCTTTTTTTTTTTTTTTCCCTGGTTTTGTGTGTATATTCTAAACCGTATTAGACATCCGTGGCCTACTTTGCAAAGGGTCCTCTCACGCGTGCTCGAGCTGCTTTCCAGAACTCAGATGATGCATCATCTATGAGGCCAATGGTATTGTATCACTACTATCGTTCTTGCATTATCCCGATGAAAAAAATGGACGCGAAGTACAGGGATTCCTTGCCAAGAATAGTAGCAGATATCACCCAGTCCCAGTCAGACGTTGATGAGATTGCTCCTGCAAGGAAGCGTAAGAGCAAGAAGAAAACTATTGGCAAGGATGGTTTATATGCAGGCGAAGAGGAGTTCATTTCCAAGTGGTGGAAATCTGTATATGAAACCAACTCGTCGGTAGAGAAGCCTGCAATGGAAACCCAAAGGAAGAGGCTGATCGAAGACATACGTATGCGAGAGACCCAGTTACAAATCCTCTTGATCCTAGAGATTATGCTTCTAGAAGGAAGTGTTGGAAGCCAGGCCGAACTCGATGACAAAAATACGGAAAAACCTAAAAAGTCCATCAAAAAGACACACGATATGGCTACGGCATTGGAATTACTTCTGGACAGATTGTGCATTTGGCATACAGTGAGCTCCCATGGCCTCGCGATTGATGTGCCTGTAGATTCAACCAAGGCGGCCACCGGACCCGGGAAAGCAAATCATGACAAGCTCCGTGATTTCTGCACTGAGGTCATTATCCCTTTCTATTCTGCCCGCCTCCCTGAGAAATGCCAGGTTATAAATCGCAAACTAGGAGGCCCCGCCATTTCATCACCTGCTAGGCCTAATCGTTCCAACCAAAAACGTTCAACAAATCCATTATCAAAATCCGCCAAGGGGCAGCCGTCGAAGAGGACTCTACAGCGCGTCGGAACTGACGAGAAGATACCTGTTAGGGCAAAAGTCCCCAGCCTGGCGCGGAACAACACTGCTCCTGCTACTGCGGAGGTGAAACGTGAGAGTAACGACCAGTTGTCGTTTTCCACCTCTATAGGCGGGAGGGGTGGCATTCAGAAATCAAAACGAGTCAATAACCGGGAGGTGGATCTTGAGGCCGTGGCCAAACAGCACGAGTCGAAACTGAAGAGGATGAATCTTCTAGTGGACCAGAAACGTGAGTTGGATGCAGCTATTAATGCCCTCAGAAAACCCAACAGAGAGCTTGCGGTGAGGGATTTCGTCGAGTCTGCGGAGAAGAGATCGGCGTCATCGGCTGCCTCCCATCCTAGGAAGCAAAAGAATCCCACCCGAAATCCTTTTGCTCAAGGAGTACAGGTTATGGCGACGCCAAAGGGGCCGCGCAACAAAGACTGCGGATTTGCCGACTTGCCGTCCTTGCCCAAGGCATGGAAACAGTCAAGGCCAACCGTCATGGCAAGCCCGATACCTGATCCCGATGCACAGGTAGTGCCGTCGCCAAGTACCCGCCCTTCAAATACAAATATGTTACCTAAGAGCCGGCCTATTCTGAACTTCTCAAGAACAGAAGCCCTCGTTCACGAAACACCGTCCAAACCCTCTTCAAATGGGTTGAAACGAAGTGCTACCTCTAACCCCGTGGAGAGCGGCATAGAGGCAGAACTTAGTCCTATTTTGGCCCGCAAATCGAAACCTTGCTCTTACGAATCTAGTTCTATAAATCTTAGCCTTGACACCTCCGCACATTCTACAACGGCTGAAGTGGGTGAAACTCCCCCTAGACTAAAGCAGATGATGTTTGTTAGCGAATCGACGGTGCCTAGACGAGTTGACTTTATGCAGCCAAGTACTCCCGCCAAAGGTAGTGTGCAGCATAAGATCCCTGTCACGACACCCCTGCGCCAACGGGCAGGTGATGACGCGAACAGGACGATTAACGAAACCCCTGAAAAGTCGATATATGAACGATTGGGATGGAATAACGATGATGACGATGACGATGAATTAGCGTTTTTCTGAACATACCTCTATCTTTATACCTTGTTGCTGTTAAATGATGAGTGAAGAGTCGCAATCTTGCTTTGCACTCTCCTTCCAATAATTTATCATTGAAATGTTTATACATATTACTTGGGTGGTATTCCACCACCTAAAAGGTGGTGAATAGAATTCCCAAGATTTTGGGAACATGGATACTCGAGCTACCTGCCCTGTTCGTGAAGGTGATGGAGTCGACCAAAAGCTATAAAAAAGTAGGGAAGAGGTTTGAGAACCTGTGTGTCTTTTCCTCAATATGTCCTTTTTCCAGCCAACCTCATATTTTACAGGGCCGTTGGAACTCTATATCAAATTTGATATCTGCCATATAACCAATATGTCATCCTCGACATGTCCCGTGATATTGGAAGAGATGATCAAATCCGAGCTCAACATTGACGAAGGCGAGTCAACCTACTCGGACAGCAATATCGATTCCGACACTATTGCCGAGATCCTCCGTCTTTACAAGAATCATCGTCGAGTAGGCAAACGCGGAAACAAAGGCAGCCCCGATGCCTCCCGCCATGCTCTTCCCGGAGTTGCTGGTAAAAACGAGAACCCAACCCTCACCATACCACCGGGTATCTATAACGAGAAACTATTCACGCTTGCACGCAAGAAAGATTTCGACTTTGCGGGGAAAGATGGAACACGCACGATCAAATGTGACGAGTTCTCGCGGTTGCTCGTATACTCTCAAACCCGGGAGGCCGGACTATTCACATATGTGCCAAATATCTACCGGATCTACCGGACGAACAAAGACTACCCCGAACGGTGCCAGCTTGCCGTAGAGGCGGCGATTGTCAAGCGAGAGATGCTGAGAGAGATCTGTACACTAGAACGTCGGGCACTTCGCAGGGCGGCGTTTGACATGGAAGATGCGTATGAATCTGACAGCGATTTGGACTACTATGGCTTCAACCGCCTGCATGTCCGTCCTCGCCCGACCCGCAACGTCGAGCCAGAACCCAGCAGCGACAAGGCTCCTTCTTGATATATGTAACCTACTGACAGTTGTCCTGTCCATTCCACCCAAGTTCTCCCATTTTATTCCAGGGGACTCCATTTTGTTCATAATATCGTAGTCCGTAGCGCTGCTCCCTTTTATATATCAAAATGTAAGCAAATGCCCAAAAAGGGAATTCCACGTGACCATATCTATATTTCAACGTCACGACTTCAACTCCAGCTTCAACTTCTTTTGGCTTCTTCTTCAGCTTGTCCCATGAGGTGTATCATGGCTGTGCAGGGCATATCCCTGGCCTGCCTGGCTGGCGGAAGAGAGAAGAACGCTCGCTAAACGAAGTGCGTTGGCCTGTTCAACCTGCTGGCTGCTTAGTCCGGATCAACGGAGCAGCAGCAGGGAGGCTGAGATGGATGTACGACCAGCAGGGAAGAGCGGAACGCGTCTTGTCGACATCTGGAGCAGAGCGAGGCGCAGGAGCAAACATTAATAGTATAGCAGATGGGGTTGAAAGCAGCACAGGAATGGCAGAGGTGGTACAGCCAAACCTGATGAGCAGGCCATCTTAACTAACGAACCAGTTAAGTAAACGTCTCGTGAGTTTTCTGGAACCTGTGGCTTGATAACCGTACTCATATCTATCTCTTTCGTGTCTAGGGAACAGATTTGACTCTCCTGCTGCAAGATACAAGAATTTAAGACAAGAGAGGACAAGGCTTCAAAAAATGCTCCGAGAGGGAAAATTCCCCGACTTGAGAGCCCTGGCAATCAGTGAAGACGGCTCAGCACTGGTCACATTGGATGTGATGTGTCTAATAGCTGCAACTTGAAGATGGCGTTTGTCCCTCTGGCTTCTCTTCAGCTCTATGGCACGGTAACATTACATCTCGACGCAATGCCATCGATGCCCACCGCAGTTCGGATGTTGTTTTTTTTTTTTTTTTTCTCTTCACCATCAGGCGGACACAAAAAGCAAGTATGACAAAAGTCGCAGCTCGAGTACTCCGTCCAGAGTAGAACCTCATAGAGATGAGACCTTGGCCATTGTTGCCTTATTCTACACAGCGAACTGACAATCCCGTCTTCTGGGCAGATGGACAGAGTGTTGATTCACACTGAGACAGCGTCCAGCATAACTAAGTAGTCATCAAGCCAAAGAAGATCCAACAAGCAGGATTATAAGAGGGAAGAGAGAGCACAAAGCAGAAAGCCATATCTATGAGGTTTTATGCATGTCTTGCATCTCAGCTGACTCGGATCAGATCCCGCGATCGCCCAAGAGGATACATCTCAACGACTCCCTCTTCCTTGTACAGATCCCTAGTTGAGGAGCATCCCATGACCGGCGTGGGTGGTTATTATTATCCGGCGTATCCTTGCAACTTGGGGGCCTCTCAAGGAAAGCTCCTCTCTTTCCCATGGGATCTCCGCCATGGATACGATGCTTTGACTCTTTCTGACCGACCATCTGTGCTGTCCTCATATCAACATATCATCAGAGACGGAATTCCCTGTCCAGAGTATTCGCTGACGACGCTGGTGGCTAAGCAGAGCCGCATGCTAAAAGTAACAAGCGGCCCCAGCCTGTAGCCTTTTCTTCTCCAAAACCAGTTCAGACGAGAGATGTCTAATTAACGAATACTATATACATTACTTTTTATACGGACCAGCCTCCGAGAGCCTATCAACAAACGTCCTGGGAGCAACCCACGGCCACCCTATGATGAAGCAGCGCCTTCCCTGGAGAAGCCTAATACTACTATTATTGTGCAGCTACAATCATCGTCAGCTCCCTTCGCTTTCTGCAGAGTCACCTACACGATCATGAGCGAGCCCAGTGCTCGTTGCTTTTTCCTTGCTCCTCTATACTTTGCTCCCCAGGTGGAAGATCCTCGTCTTGTCGACTCTCGTCTCTACCTCTCATCCTCCTCCATCCCTGCTCTAGCGTCGGCTGCCTGCATCGCCTGTTCTTCCTTCTGCAACTTCTTCAACTAACAGACGCTCCCTGGCGAAATATACACTGCGCCACTGTCCTGTCCCCATCCCCTTCCGCGCTGCTGGGCTAGCATCTCCGAGCCAGCATCTTTTGCGAGTTATCCCAACGTCTACGCCCAGACATGTCTACATCCTCGCTGTGATATCACTGTGGCGCCCTTGAGAGGACACAGAAAGGAAAGACAAGACATCAAACAGCGTGAGAAGGGTCGAAGGGAAGAAGCAAAAAAGAAAAAAAGAAACGCGCCCTCCACCACTACTATCCATCCTCTCGTCATCCTCTCTCATACCTTCTATCCTTCCATCATCTCCTCCATCATCCCATTCGCCCTCGTCCTCCCCACCCTTTTCTTCCTCCTCCCCCTCCGCCCATCGTGAACACACAGTTCCCCCTCGAGATGTATACAACCTCCGCGCCCGCCCAGGTTAACGGCGGCAGCGGCATGGGCAACAACCGCGTCGACTCCGGGACTATCAACCCCGCGGATCTCAACTCTCCTAGTACGTTGTTTTATATTCTTGCCTGTCCTTAAATCTCTCGGTGTTTGCTGTCCGTTCAAACGGATGTTGGTGACGGCGGCTATGATGATCATGATAATACTGACCCAGCAGTCTCCCTTCCATCTACTGCGCTTGCTACAGACCTCACCGCGGACGCGACTGGCTCCCGCGGCACCAAGCGCAGTCGTTCAGAAGACCAGTATGGCGAGCAGCTCGCCGACCCTGATGTCGAAGATGGTGAGTTTTAAGTCTTGGGCGGATGAAAGACTTCGCTGAATTCCGATTTTTCCTCATTTTCTTTGAAATCGCCTTGTCGCCTACCCAAACCTTAGCGTAGCAACTCCACTTCAGCAGAGAAGAGCAGAACAGAAGCGTGTCAGAGCGAGAAGCGAAAGGAAGAGAAGGGAGAAGAAAAAAAAAATTCTAGCATACGGCCCTACTGACAATCTATCGCAGACAGTAGGCGCAAAAGAGGGCGACCCCCAAAAGCCACCCGCCCGCCGAGCACCTCCACCACCATTACCGCCAGCCATAACAACCTCAGCACAAACGCCAACATCAGCAGCAACAACATGAGTATCAGCAACAACACGCCCATTGTTGCTACGACGATAACGACAACTGCAGCGGCCATGGCGTCCTCGCAGTCTCCCCTACAGACACCTAGGATAGCCCCAGATATCGCCCTTCAGTCGTCTCCGCCCAAGGCTACGCCAACAAAGTCCGTTCTCAAAGCCCTGCCCACAGTCAGAGACCACACGACCGATCAGCTAGGGGAAGATGGCGATGAGTATATCCCCAAGGAGTTCGATGCTAACGGCGAGAAGAAAGTCGACGGTCTAGGTTATCTGCAGGATACCCGCACCTACAAGTGTCGCACCTTCCGCCTCGCAAATCGCGGCAACAAGCTCTTCATGCTGGCTACGGAGTGCGCGCGCGTGCTAGGCTACCGCGATTCTTATCTCCTCTTCAACAAGAATAGATCATTATTCAAAATCATCGCCAACCAGGCCGAAAAGGATGATTTGATCGCGCAGGACATCCTGCCGTACTCGTACCGCTCGCGCCAGATTGCCATAGTTACCGCTCGTTCCATGTTCCGTCAGTTCGGCAGTAGAGTCATAGTCGACGGCCGACGCGTGCGCGATGATTACTGGGAAAGCAAGGCTATCAAACAAGGATTTACAGAAGAAGATATGGCTGGCGAGAAGCGTCCTGGAGCAGGAAAGGCACGCGAGGCTGCTGCCGCCGAAGCAGCCGCTTCGATGAATGCCATACCCTCTTTGGGTCATAACGATGTTATCTACACCAACACCTCGACCGATGCACACGGCTTGCCGTCGACACTCTCCCATCCCGCCTCACTTGCTCCCCTCCCTATGATCAACCCCGCCCCGTCCGATGATCCGCGTCTTCGCGAATACAGCAGTCTCCCACGCCCTAGGCAGACCTAGGTGGCAGCCCTACCAGGACCGCTCCGTCCCAAGCGCTGCCGCCGA